AACCAGTTCGGCTCGGTGGATAGAGCGTCGGCCTGCAGACTGAAAGGTCCCAGGGTTCGATTCTGGTCAAGGGCATGTAATTGGTTGCAGGCACATCCCCAGTAGGGGGTGTGCAGGAGGCAGCTGGTCGATATTTCTAACTCTCTATCCCTCTCCCTTCCTCTCTGTAAAAAATCAATAAAATATATTAAAAAAAAATGACACTTGTCCTAAAAATATTCACTACTTTAGAGTAAGCTAAATGTAAAGGCATATACATATGCCTATCTTTTACTGCAAGCAAAATTTATTCAAAAAATTAACTCTCCGCTATAAAACTCCTTTCCTTATCCATAGTTTACTTTCTAAAATAAACGAATGTTTCAAGTGTTCTACACAATCTAACAAAAAAATGAGCATTAAGACCAAATATGTAAAATTTTACTAAGACTCAGAAAAGAACCAAATAAAAGACATAGGAATCATCTCTTGTCTTGGGATTTTTGTGGGTGAATGGTGTGTTTACATGAATGTAAACTGATTTTGCATTAGTGACACACCAAGAAATTTAAGGAGACTTTTAGTAGAAAGATAAAAAGTACAATACTGGTCAATATAATTGATATCAGAACAAATAAAGCATTCTAGACCAGACTGAATTTTTGTAGCACCAGTGATTAAGATTATCCATAAAGATATTTCGTATGTAAAAGATATAAACTTTAATGCCAAGATCTAAGAAAATTTTAAAACAGAAAGAATTTTCAATTTTTTTAGAACAAAACAATTCTATAAAAACATCCAAATGGTCTAGAAAACGATCAGACAAGTACCATTTAAAAGTAACGCAACACTAGGTAACCTCTGTACTGGTCGGATGAGAAGTTCAACAAGGCTTTGCCGTCCACATTCTGGTTTAGCTTGGTTGATCTGAAAAGAATTTATTCAACAATTTTTAAAAATGGTTTTCCCAAACATTAGACACCCTACATTTATTCGTGCCCTGATGACTAACAGGAAAGCTGGGGCAGCAATGTTCTCTGGCAGATTACTGTGGTTGAAATGACCTCCTGGCCAGCCAAGGGTTAATTAACATCTTAACCAGAAAGTGAGTTACTCTACACACTACCATATATTCCTTCTTAAACAAGTATTAAATCTACATGACTCATAAGAAAAAAACTTTTAAAATATTATGTGGACTGGATAAACAAAATAAGGCATTGGTAAGAGGGGCGTGGAGGGGAATCATTAAAGGCAAGACAGAATTCTCCTAGAAATATTTTAGGTGTTTGAGAACTAAAACATGTATAACTTAAAAAAAACCATCATAAACAACATTCTCATTCACTTAGCTGCTTCTTAGACCCTGCTACCTAGTATGTCAAATCTTCAGAAACTAAACATCATTGCTACTATCAGAAGGTATAGCTAAAGTTAACAGGTAACATTAAGGCGTTCTTACATAAATTCATTTTTACTAAAAGCATAATTTTAATGAATTCCTTCAGAAATTATTCTCAGATTTTTATTTTAAAGACTACATTACCTTCAGAAAAGCATGAAATCTTGGCTTCTGTTTTTCACATTTAATAATTGTTTCCTTGCTCATTTCAAAGAAATTAACAAAGGGAGGGTAGGTTTTTACCAAATCTTTTGACTAGAAAAAGAAAAAACAAACATTAATTTGTAACACCTTTCACCCTTAGACAATAAAACTTGAAGTTGAATGATCAATAGTCACCTCTGACAGAGTGCAAGTGTTTGTTTCTTCTCATGTTAAATACAAAAATTTATAAGTGAGTTAGTTAAGTGCTAAACAAAATGCATCAATTGGTACACACAGACTGAAAAGTAAACACCGTAAGAAACAAAAGTATATTAAAACTTGTTGTACTGATATAAATGTAACAAGTTTAAAATCTATAAATTTAATTCATGACAAAGGAGCCAAAAACATAATGGAGAAAGGATTCTCTACAATAAATGGTGCTGGGAAAACTTGACAGCCACATGGCAAAAGAATGAAACTAGACCACTTTCTTAAACCATACACAAAAATTAATTAAAAATCTAAGACCTGCAATTACAAAATTCCTAGAAGAAAACATAGGAGGTTAAACTCCTTGACAGGGGGTCTTAGCAATGTTTTTGAGGATCTGACTCCAAAGGCAAGGGAAACAAAAGCAAAAATAAACAAATGGGACTATATTAAACTAAAAGGCTTCTGCACAGTGAAGGAAACCATCATCAAAATGAAAAGGCAACTTACTGAATAGAAGATATTTGCCAATCATATATCCAATAAGTTATTAATATCCCAAACACATAAAAAGACATACAACTCAACATAAAAAAAAAAAACACCTGATTTAAGAATAGGGAGAGGGGGCCACAGGAGGATCTGAATACACATTTTCCCAGAGAAAACATACAAAGGCCAACTGGTACATGGAAAGATGTTCAACATCACTAAATATTATGAAGGCGCAAGCCAAAGCTACAATGAAAGATCACCTCACACCTGTTGGAATATTATCAAAAAGATAAGAAATAACAAGTGTTGGAGCGGATGTGAACAAAAGGGAACTCTGTACACTATCTGTGGGATTAAGTGGTGCAGCCACTATAAAAACCAGTATGAAGATTTCTCAAAAAATTAATAGAACTACCATATGATCCAGCAATTCCACTTCTGGGTATTTATCCAAAGAATTTGAAAACACTAATTCAAAAAGATATACACACCCCTATGTCCATTGCAGGATTATTTACAATAATGAAGATGTGGAAACAACCTGTGTCTATCAATGGATGAATAGATAAAGAAGATGTGTGTGTGTGTGTGTGTGTGTGTGTGTGTATTCCCCCAAAAATGTATAAACACACTTTGACTAATTATAAAGGCAATGTTTATTAAAATACATTTCATTTTCAAAATTGAGCTATCAGCTGTTAAAGTGTGAGGCACCCTCTATATATAGTGGAATATTATTCTGCCATTAAAAATTCATTAATCTATGCCCATTTGTGAAAGGCAAATAACTTGATATATAATAAAATAATTATAGCACAGTATAACAGTGTTCCTAATGATGACCTTGAGCTTTTGATAATGTTAAGTTTTGTATTTAACAAACACAATGATGTCAAAATTTTAAAAGCTTTCTCATTTAAGCATGTAACTTTCATTTCCTGCCAATCCTTTATGATATTTAATCTGGAAATTTTAAAAAGAAATAAAATACTTACATATTTAAGAAAGATGTCACCAATGCTTTTGCTTTCATCCCAATTAACAATAAGGTCTTCAAGATCATCCTGAAAAAAACACAAATTAAGACATTTAAAATTATACTGGACAATATCTTAAATATCTTTTAACATTTTCAAGATAGTCATTTTTTTAAAAAAATAGTCATTTTGAAGGTATTTTACACAGTGTGTCCCCTTTATATCTAGAAATAACTGAAATATCCAAGGATTTTGATAAAATATAAGTACTTGATAAATTGCATTTTTATTAACTTATAGATCTTTTATACTTGTATTTGTAATGTACAGCAATATCAAAAGTAAGTTAATATATTTGCTTGAAACATTTTATAATTCAGATTAATCTTTTTCCTGGAAGATGGGATAAACACTAATATGGGTAATTTTGAGAAAACCAATAAATTTAATTCAAGAACCACACAGAAAAAATAAAAAGAAATAAACCTAAACTCCTTTAAGAGCTCAGCTAATCCTCCCCAAATTTACTTTACTATGATTGATTGATACCTGGAAATCATGGATCCTTCACTTAAAATAAAAAATCATTAAAAAGAAAATAGGATTGTATTATATGATTTTAGCATTTATCTAACTATAGAGAACTGAATGAAATAAACTCTAAGTCCCTTACAGTTTCACAAACAAACTGAAGCAAAACAAAAACATAGAACAGAGGAACAATAGTAGAAAAATAACACTAGCAACTACATTTCTCTATAGAAGACTTTGTGAGGCCTTAATTCCTTATTTTCAGGATTAATTCAAATTTAAAAAAAAAAAAAAACACAAGCAAACAACAAACATTAACAATGCATTACAGCAAAGAACAAATCATCCGAAGGAATAAATGAAAAGTTTTAGACACAAAATTTATTTAGCTCATCAGAAGTACCTGAAAAATCATAATAAATATACATAATAAATATATACATAAAAAAGAATTACTATGAGCCTAACATATACAAATTTACCTTTATCTTAGTGTGCACATCAAAAATATCTGGGATACTACCAAAAATAGTCTTAATCTCTTCTGGTGCAAGTATAGGCCCACCACGTTGTCCTTCTTCTTCCAAAGGTACCTGAAATAACTAAAAGGTAAAAAAAAAGATTAGTTTAGGTAGACTGTGGGGAGGGGGAAGGGAGTGAAACTAACAAACAGTGATAAAGGGGAGATGAAAAGTTGATGAAAAAGAAAAATGGTTTTAAAACACTTCTCTAAATTTGAGGCCTTTTTCTAACATTTTCTATTCTACTTTATCCCATTTATTTATATACTAAAGGCGCAGTGCACAGATTCGTCCAGATGGTGGAGGGATACTCAGGGGGAGTGTCCGCAGGAGAGGCTCAAGCCACTGCTGCAGCTGCACTTGCCAGCCATGAGCCTGGCATCTGGCACCCGTACATCAGCTGAGTGGTGCTCCCACTGTGGGAGTGCACTGACCACCAGGAGGCAGCTCCTGCATTGAGCATCTGACCCCTGGTGGTCAGTGCGTATCATAGCAACTGGTCAACCGGTCCTTCGGTCACTTACACTTTTATATATAGAGACTAGAGGCCTGGTGCACGAATTCGTGCACAAGTGGAATCTGGCCAGCCCCGCCCTCAATCAGGATAGGGGGGCCAATCGAGGGCAGGGCCGGCCGGGGAGAGGGGCTGCGGGCAGTTGGCCGGCTGGCCCCACCCCCTGGTCAAACTCCCAGTGGAGGGGATATTTTGCATATTAGCCTTTTATTATATAGGATCTGTGTATATGTGTATATATGCTCTTGTAATAAAATGTTATGTTAGCATCTAACAAAAGTTAATTAAAACTGTTAGTATGATACAAGAGTAATTTCTATTTTTATACAAGTTAGTAAGGAAGAAAGCAATAAGCAATCAGTTATTTCCAGACATACACTTACTATAAGTACTAAATGTTTTTAAATGGTAGCACAGAACTTTGGTGTAGGGGAAAGAGACAAGATTTGGAACAAAAGACCTGTTTGTATTTATGTTGTTGCTTGTATCAATCTAAAACAAATAAAAAATAAAGGAGCCCAGCCAGCGTGACTCAGTGGTTGAGTGTCAACCTACGAACCAGGAAATCAAGGTTCGATTCTGGGTCAGGGCACATGCCTGGGGTGTGCAGGACGCAGCCGATCAATGATTCTCTCTCATCATTGATGCTTCCTTCTCTCCCTCTCTCTCTCTCTCTCTCTCTCTCTCTCTCTCTCCCCGCACTTCCACTCTGAACTCAATTTAAATACACACACACACACACACACACACACACACACGAAACTAAAGGATAAATAGCTCCTAGAACTAATATGTGAATATAGTGAAGTCACAGGATACTAGGTCAGCATGCACATGCATTCATGCACAGAGCACACAGACACATCGATCATATTTCTATATACCAGTAATATACAAAGGAATCCAAAATTTCAAAAGTATCATGTACAATAAAAAATTAAAATACTTAAGTATAAATATACAGTAGATACTTGAATAAACATCCTTTCATTATAATATTGTTAGATACCATAGGAACTTAATTCTTATTTATATCAATTAGCCTATGGTCAAACTGATTTTATTATACGTCGTTTCACTTAAAGTGCCAGAACCTATCAACAATGTTAAATGAAGACTTACTATAATAAAACATGTAAATTATGCTGAAAACTAAGGATGCTGATCAAAGAACACATATGGCTGCGGATTGAAAGACTCAACACAGTGTGTGTCAATTCTCCCTCAAATTGATCTATGGATTTAACCCAATACTTATCAAAATTCCAGAACTTTTTATAAATAAAGAAAACCAGATTCTAAAAATGTATATGGAATAGCAAAGGAACTTCTTAGTATAAAACTGCAGTATTTAAGACTGTGTTGTGAAGGGAGAAACATACAAGATCAATAGTAGAGAATAAATTCCAGGAACAAACCCACACAAATATGAAGTAATATTTGACAAAAGTACAAAAGCAATTCAATGGAGGAAGGCTAGTTGTTCAACAAATGTTACTAGAACACTACTTGCAAAAAAATAAACCTCAGCCTAAATATAACTAAAGTATGATCTATTTTTAAAATCTGATAAATTGGACTTCATTAAAATTAAAAACTTTTTTTCAGCAAAAAACTTAGAATGAGAAGACATGCTACAGATTAACAAAAATATCTGCAAATCACATATCTGAAAAAGGAACAGTATCCAAAATATATATATAATTTTCAAACTCGGGAGGAAACAACCCAATTAAAAATAATAAGTAACAGTATTGTTGGGTTCTTAATATATGTAGAAGTAAAATGAATTACAATAATAGCACATATGCCAGGAGATTAATGGAAGTTGTTGTTTGTTTTTTTAAGAAATGTAAAAAAAGAAAGTACATTATAAATACTACGAAATGACATGAAGATTACAAATTGTTACTGAAATGACATGAAGATTACAAATTGTTACTATTTTTAAGAACTACAATTTTACAACAGTTCATTCTCTTCTATTGAGGACTTCCAATTCTAAGTATGGTGAACCCTCCTTGCTGAAAACAACTGAAAATCTGAAGTAAGAAAAACTTCTTTATAAATATACCAATAAACTGACAAGACAGTGAAATACCTTCAGAGGCCAAAATCTAAGTGAATGTAGAGAGTTGAACACTAAAATCAACTTTTGCCAAGGACATTTGCCTAAAGTGATGAAAGTTAAGCTTTACCTATGAAAACCTCAGTAGGCACAGAAGACTAACACAAACCTAGTTTCTAATCTACTACCAACTTCCAGTAAAGTTAAAAATGTGTGTGAGTCAGAAATTCCAAATTTTTACTCAGAGTATGTTCTCAAGGAGACATGAGTAAGAATATTCACAATAGACTACTAGTAAGAGTAAAAACAAAAACAAAACACTAAAACTTAACTCCAATGTCCATTAAAAAGAAAAGTTAAATAAACTGACTTATTCATACAGAAAAGTGAATTACAGCTACCTGCAACAACACAGATGTGTCTCAAAAACATTACTCTCAAGAGAAAAAGCAAATCACTAAAAATGTATAAATATAGTTATTTGTTTTTTCTAAAGATATGATAGAACTAAAGGAAATAAGCACAAAATTCGAGATGATGATTATCTCTGACGAAGGTAAAGAAACACAATAAAGGTTTCAAACATATTTGTAATCATTTATAAATATTCCTTTATCTAATCAACGTTTAATTTAAAATCCTTAACAAAAATATTCAAACAACCAAAATACATAGTTTCATTAAAAATCTCTCAATAGTCTTGAGATATGTTAAACCATTCTAAAACCTTTCTGGGTTTGCTTTAATCCCCATATAAAATTAGAGAGGCAAAGAACTATTGATTCTACCTTTCCAATACTTCTTAAATTTATCATTTCATTTTCATTTTGATGACTAAGGAGTTCAGGGCATCAAAATCTAATCGAGACTACTGAAATTACCTCCACATTGGTCTCCTTGCCTCCACAAATTGTCCTCTTTAATATCTCCTTCAAACTGAACCAAGTTATCTTTCTAAAATGATAGTCAGATGTTATCTTCCCATTCTACAGCTTCCAGATGACAAAGGGCTTTCCTAGTTATGGCACAGGCATCTTATCTCAACTCTCACTGTATCCAAACCCTATCCCCACCCTCATTCCCTTCTTTAATAACCCTAATCTTTAATCCCCCTAGACCAGCGGTTCTCTGTGGGTTGCGACCCCTTCACAGGGGTCACCTAAGACCATCGGAAAACACATACATAATTACATATTGTTTTTGTGATTAATCACTATGCTTTAATTATGTTCAATTTGTAACAATGAAATTGGGGATCACCACAACATGAGGAACTGTATTAAAGGGTCGCGGCATTAGGAAGGTTGAGAACCACTGCCCTAGACTATTCTCAATACCTTGAAAATACATCTTCAATCATCTGTATTGTTTGCAAAATTTCAAATACACAGCCCAATGATATTCTTTGCATGTCCCAATCAGACTCATACTTTAATATCCAACTCAATTTTTTTCCTTATCATGCTTTTTCCAATGTTCAACCTATCAAAAATTCCAATTCAACACTTTCCTAAGCTGGAAGAAGAGTAAAACCTCACAAATCTCCAAATTATCTTAATTAAACCTCCCCAATGATGCATATAACCTTCCGCCTGATATTACAATTTTGTACGTATATTCTACCTGCTCCCCTTTCAGTCCAACTCCTTTAAACCAAAAACGCTCTTTAACTCTTGGCTCAATATTAACTTACAATTTTATTATTAACTAGAGGTCTATTGCACAAAATTTGTGCACTCGGGGGCGGGGGGGTCCCCTCAGCCCAGCCTGTGCCCTCTCACAGTCTGGGACCCCTCAGGGGATGACCACCTGCTGGCTTAGGCCTGCTCCCTGGGGGATTGGGCCTAAGCTGGCAGTCAGACATCCTTCTG